GTGTGCGTGTGCGTGACTCACCGCAGCGCCTCGTCCTCCGGTCATCTGCCTGCCAAAATCAGCGAAGGCAGGTGTGAAATCGGGCCCTCTGGAGATCGCCCTGGAATCCACCACTCGAGATGGCAACTTGTTTTGGTTCATCTGTACGACACATAGCATACACAATACATCATCACACACACACAAAGACACACATACACACGATGAGCTGAACAGCAGGGGGAGCAGTGATCCCCTCATAGTAGTGCCAATAGGGTAAAAGGAGTCAGCCTGCTGTGTGTGTGTTCATTTCTAACTCACTGGACTTTTAAAGGTGGTAAATGACAGTCGTACTACTTTACCAGCTTTTGCTTTATGTATTTATTGTTTTTTTTACTGTGCTGGTGATAAATTATGCTCAGCGGGTTCAACGGGCCATTCGGTGAGAGAAGTCAGAACCAGATGTGGAAGGAAGGAAGAAAGGAACGCAGGAGAGAGCGAGATAGTTGTGGGGGAGGAGAGAAGAACAAATCCAGCTCTTTGTCTTTCAGCTGTCCTTGACTTCCGCTCGACTCTTTCCCAGTGAGATTTCACTTTCTCCCTCAGAGAAAATGAGACTATTGGGATTGTACATCAACTGTTCGCCGGTCTGGTTGTTCTTTTTCGGAGAGGTGGGGGGGAGGGGCATGTACTCTTACGCTGCCAAGTGTGACATAATAGCAATGTGATTTTAATCAAAACAGCATTTGAGCAGGCCATATGCTCCACCCATACGTAAGTGTGGATCAGAGGAACGAACCAAAGTCTCTGTGGTGTATCTTTGATCCGGTGCATACGATCTAACAGAATTAGGCAATGTCTGGACTACTGCCTGTTGCTATGAGCTAATGATGAAGAACCCTGTTTCACGAAGAAGTTTAGAGCAAAAACTGGGGCTTCAATCTTGTGCATGTTTTCATTATTGATTACTATAATCCATCATTTAATAGCTTTAATTGCATAGTCTTTAAAACCTCAAGAAAAGCATAAATAATGCCTGTCACAATTTGCCAGAGGGTGAGATTTTTAAATCGCTCGTTTTGTCCAACTAACAGTAAAACCCAGTGACATTGAGTTTACGATGATATAATGAGAAAAAAAGAATCTGCAAGCTGAAACCACAGCATGTTTGGGATTTTTGTTTCATAATTGACTCAAATAAAATAAAATAAAGAGGTACTGCACACTTTAACATGTTTTTCAAGCTGTGAACCGAATAATATAACGGTGATGAAACACATCGATGCTCGTGTTAATATTGGCATACTTCCCAAATGTATGAAAAATCTGCATTTCATGGGTGGAAATGGCTCAACACACCACCTACTGTTATAAATCACCCTGAACCTCGCAAGGCCAGTGCTGAACTGAAGCTGAATGTTTGAGTCTAATTTACGCCATGACATTTATTTTTTATTATTTTTAACTGGCTGTCCTGTGCAGGTCTCTGCTGCACTTTTTAAAATTGCTGAGAGGCTTTTCTTGCAGAGTTTGCAGTTAAAGTAGACATTGTGGCCTCTACTAGCCACTTTCCATTTTAAAAGCGACATTTAGAGAAGGAGCTCTGAGGCTGGTTGGTAATATGCTGAGGAAATGTACATAATTCACCTTCATTTGCACTTGGAGGTTTAAGAATAGTTAGGCAGGGATATCTGGCTGACTCACCTTGTCTAACACCACATCACTAATGGGTGGGAGCCCCTCAGGCTTCTGTATGCAGGCGGGCATGAACTGGAAGCCCAACAGGAAGTCCCTGTCATACTGACGCTTCCCACTGGAGTCGGCCAAGTCTGGAACACCAAGCACGGTTTGAGAGGGAAGGACGGAGAAAAAGAGTAAATATGAAAAGGCTGAACTGGAAATAAGTAAAGCAAAAGCTACACTGTGAAGTGGAGTGAATTCATAAACCGGGAGCCACTAAAGACACAAGTCATGCTCAAAATCTGAACGTCAGCAGCGTTTTTCTACTGATAAAAACCGTATTTCTGTATAAAAGTTTTGCCTGAAGTAGCTTCAAACGTGTCCAAAGAACGGGGCCCTTCTCACCTTCCATGTCCTGTGGAGCTCCTGTGGAGTTCTCCTTGTCTCCGGCGGTGGCTCCACTGTCGCTGCTCTCCGTCTCCGACGTGTGGCCTGCGCCGTTCCTCATGGGCTCCATCTCGGCCTCGCCGTTCTCCTCTGGCGCGGCGGGCTTTCCGTCAGCCTCGGGGCTGCTGGCAGGAGCTGGAGCAGGGGTGGAGGTAAACGCCGGCGGTAGGGGCACCGGGCTGCTGCTCAGAGGAGCTGACTGCGGGGCCTGGTCTCCAGCAGGTTGATCCACTGTACTGGGCTCGTCCTGCGCGGAGGCAAGATTTTCGCTTTCAGATCGGTCGGTAAGTTTTATGAGCAGCTTTTTTTATCATTTAGCAACAGTTTATCACATTTAAAAACTAGCAGCACCAGGATTTATCTACGTAACGCACTATAATCGTCAGTTACAGAGCTGTCAGGAGGTCATCTGCAGACCGGGTGAACAAATAAAGAGAGGGTAAAACTGCAGGAGTAGAAAGTGAGGGATGAATGAAGCAAAACTGAGTGAAGGCAGGGAGAGATGGTGAAATGCAGAGAGGGTGGGATAGGTCAGGTACAAACAACACAGAAAAGGAAACATAACAGGAGCACAATGGGCTCGTCGTAGTAGACGGCACCATTAGTGACACAGAGGGATTTTCTTTACACAACCCCCATTATCATTTAACAAATATCTGTACATGCAGCACTATTTACACACAGTAAAGGGTTATTCTGGGCAGATTGAATATATTTTTTGTATTTCGTGTTCTATATTATGTGCTCTGTGTGCTATCTAGGCCAAGGCACTCACTGGGCTTCAAATGGGGGTACTGGATCTGGATGATTGCGGTAAAGAATTTGTTTTCTGTATCAGTGTGGTAATACTTCAGGTAACAGGGTCAAACCAGCTTCACTGTATAACCAAATGTCCTTCAATATAAATGAAGTCTTTTATTCTGGATTCAGAAGCTGAATTAAATGAACTAGACATTTAAAATGTTGTTTAAATGTTTATAGTTTGGTCAAGTATTGCTGAAAGGTTTCTGTGTGAAATGTGTTTCTGCATAAAATAACATTTCTCCTTCACTCATCGTTCTCTCTGTAGCCTAAAAGGAGCCATTTAAAGTCTGTACCACCGGTATTTGGTGGTGTGAAAACTCTCCCACAGCTAAAAGCCCAGAACAAAACAATAAAAGAGAGGAAATGAGATGGGGACAGAGCTGATTTTACATACAGTGGGCTGGGTGAGCAATGAAGATGATGGATAACTCTTTGCTGTCGCTCTTTACGATAACAACACCCCAAAACCATTTATGTCTGTTTCCCCCCCACCACACATGTGGAAACATTTTCCACTTGAACTATTGCCCATATTGTGCCTTTTCCTCTTCCCTCTCACCCCCCTCCATCCCAATCTTTGACAATTTGTTAGCATTTAAAAAAAAAAAAAGTCTTCAAAATGAGACACTAACCAGTGTGAGAAAGTCAACAGACTAAAAACTACTTCTACAAAGAGACTATAGACACATCACATTTAAAGGTGAAATTATCTAGACTTCTTGTTTCCTGTTGGGCCTCTTTTCTTACCTCATCCTCCTTTTGAGGTGCGTCGCCAGCAGAGATCCCTTCATTTGGTTTCCTCCAGGTCTTTGGTATAGCAGAAGCAGTCTGATTAACTGTGGAGGAATACAAACGCAAGAACACGCAATCAGCCACAGACAGTCAGCAAAGAACACAACCACAATGGATTTAAAAGGGCTTTTTTTCGGTTGAAAACACAATAATGGCAAGAAGAAAAGCCAGAAAATTACATAAAATGCTTTAAAGTCACTTTTTTTTTTTTATGTACACGGTTCTAATATGTTCTGACCAAACTATAATAAACAAACATTATTTGCAAATACTATTTGACAGAGCAGAAAAAGAAAGAAACATTTACACAAGTAAGAATTATTTAGGAGATTTCCAGGATATCTTCAATGGCAGGTATAAAAGACATAAAGGTTCCTTATATACGTCACTTATTGTGATAAATTCATCTTAAACTAAGAAGACTAGATAGATAGATTTTAAAAGGGCTAAAAGAATCACATATTACATTAGCTAAAAATGGTTTGCAGAATCTGAGCAGCTGCTTTAATAACGTTTATCACGCTTTAGGTTTAACACGTCAGAATAATCTTAAGAGGGCAACAAATGTATTTAAAACGTGTCTCGTACTTTCCAGGTTTTTCTGAAAGGACGGTAACTCTGACCACGCTGAGAGTTTATTGTAACCGACGACGCCTTCTTGGGGAATCAACTGTGTCAGCACAGCACTTGATGAGAGATTATCTCCAATGTGTGCTACTTGGTGTATTTATAAAACACCCTAGTTCCTGATAGAGCCACTTCAATTTGCCATTTAGGCATAATTCCATGAAATAGTAGTGTAAGTAAAGCCTCTTTTCAGGCTGGACTGTCTCCAAAAAATAAAAAAATACTCCATCTAAAGAGTCATTACTCCTTTGTTGCAGACTTTAGTCACGGAAACAAATTATCTAGGCTCCAATGAATTTTACAGATGCTGAAACGCAGCAGATGCCGTACCTGTAGTGGGACTCCTCCTGGTGAGCGCTTGTTGCTGGGACTCTGTTTTGCTGTCAGTAATGCCTCCGTGTGCCTCTGTCCCTACTCTGGGAACGAGGTCTTTAGTGTCTAAGGGCTTGCTCGGCTCGTCGGCCTCTGTTGTGGCCTGCACTAGAGGCGGAAGGCCGGGGGGGAGCGTAGCTGGCAAAACAGGAGCTGGGCTTGACGTCAGGGTGACGGGCACCACGGCCACAGGTGCCATGGGGGTGAGCGCAGCAGCAATGGGCACCTCTGGCCTCACGTCAGAGGGCAATGTTTCAGAGGAGGAGGCCTCTCTGTAAGCAGGAGCAGAGGCCTGGGGCTGGAGTGCAGCTGGGGACAGAAGAGAGGGCTCATGAGCCGGGGCGTCCAGCTCAGTCCCAGAGTCTGCAAGGCCGTTCAAAGCCTTGGGAGCCGGCGCCGGCGAGGCAGCCAGAGTCCGCGGGGCATCTGAAAGAGGCTTGTCTGTGTTGGGAGTCTGAGGTGGCGCCAAAGAGGGTTTGTACTCCCCAGCTGAGGGGGATGGAGAAGAGGCTGAAGCACTGGACTCCCTGGCTGAGGGACCTTCACTTTTGTTGGCCACTGAAACTGGGAGTGTGGCGGGGGCGGCCACTGGGGCAGAGAAGGGAAGCTCTGGTTCGACTGTAGAAGGGGCCTCGGTTACAGGAGCACTGGCCTCGAGTCTCTCCACAGGGGCTTCAGGCTGCACAAGCCCAGGCGAGGAAGACTTCTGGACAATTGGCTCTAGTTTTGGCGTATCATCTGGAAGAATGAAGAGTTCAGATAAACACACAATTTCATCGTCACTGTAACTGTAATAAACAGTTTCTTTAATGTGGGTAAAGCTGGAAACATGTCTTTGTGCTTCTTTGTAGCTTTAAACTAATAAGCTTTTGTTGCTAGGTATTTTAGATTACAAACTAAAAACACCAGATCACTATATAAGTTAATGATTGTGACAGCCTTAGGCTCAATAAACCTCTCTCTAAATTTGAAGCTGAATAATAAAACTAGTAGAACTGGTTCCAAAACGTTTGCTCAGTGGTTAAAATGGTCCAGCTAATTAGCGGAGAAGCAGGGAGCCCAGCTGACACTACACTTTTGACGATTTGTCAGTGAAATAAAAGTGAAAGCATTCATTGTGCAGTCCGTTCCAAGGAAAACAAAAGTGATACGTTAAATGTGTTTGGAAATCAATGTTTAAATATAAGTTTTCTTGGTGAAGGGTCACTAAGGTTTGCTGAACCACATGAGAGCGATAGTAAAACCAGGGATGGCACTGCTTGGCAGGCGACGACACAGTAGAAACACAGTCACACAGTACTTTTCTCAAAAAGGTCTAATGTTATAGTGTTAGACGTAAAAATAGGGTTAAAACGGCCTTGGTCAGACTGTCTGTCGGTCTGATGTGTGGGACCTCTACTTGTTATGAGCTGGGCTGTATTTTAAAGAAAAAAAAGAGGGATGTCGGTGCAGACCTGGCCCTGGTTTGGTGTCTGAAACCCCAGTTGTCAACGGCTGCTGTGGCTGTTGGGGTTGTGGTGGCTGCGGTGGCTGCAGGGGCTCCAGCGTGTAGCCTCCAGGATGGGCCTGCTGTGGCTGAGGAGGCTGCGGCTGCTGTTGCTGTTGCTGCTGTTGGTGTTGCTGCTGCGGCTGCTCTGGAGTCTGGCTGCTGCTCAGCTGCTGCGATTTGAGGTAGAAAATGTGAGGATAATGAGGGTGCGGCCATAAAAACTAGCAACACAGAAAACCAGAAAGACGCGCACAGAGATGTAGGCAAGCACGCACACAAACAAATAAACAAACAAGCCCAAATGCAGGATTAAGCAGAAATAAGGAGTCCAATGGGGTGTGGTTAGATTAAGAGGACAGCAATGGAGGACAAGACAGAGAGTGAATCAATGTGGGAGGGATAGCAGGAGGAGGGGAACGGCTCAGAACAATGCAGAGGGAAAAAAGGGGCAAGAATAAAGAATAAAATCAAAAGGGGCACAAAAAGACAGAGAAAGAGAGGAAAGACACTGTTAACATCCACAGAAGGACACAGGGAGGAAGAAGTCACAATGTCCTTCTTCAGAATCCATGGAAAGCTATCTTATTAGGGATTGGTAAGTCTGATTTTAGTACTATTGTTTTCAGCTTCAAAAAGTGACTCCGAGCCCTGCTGGTTTCCATTCTGTCCATCTAATTAGGGGCTGAAATACCAGTGACGGTGGTACTCTTGGTCCAAAAGATGAAGACCTAGAGCCACAACCTTTCCTTGTTTACATCGAGGCGATGCACTTGCACAACAATAAAAATTCAATCTTTTTTTGAAGGACAGAATGGACCAACGAGCGGATTCTGGAGAAGGAGTAGGAGAAGACAATACATACGCAATCTACTGTAAAAGATAGTGAGTGAACAGAAACAGTGACAGGAAGGAAGCAGGTTCAAGATAAAAACAGCTTTTAACTAGACTAACCGTTACGAGAGAGTTATTTAAATGTAACTGGTTTTAACAAGTCATGGATGTCTAAACATAGGTTGTAATAAATATTCACAGGAACATATGACGCTGAAGGACACATCCACATTTATATAACCACTGACAACAAAGTCCTGAGCAATAGATAATACAGGCATTCTCTGGACAGAAAATCACCATGAATTTCTTATGAGAGCGCAAAATGGCTGAGTAAATTACCAAAGACACAGGGGCCACGTCCTGTCTGTCAGACACACGGTGGAGAAAGGATCAGAGCAAAGAGCTACCAAGCAACACGAGACGCCTCTCCACCCCTCAGCTAAAGCTCTAATCAGCTGCGCTTAATGCTACACTACCTCAACTGTAACTACTGTGGGTGAGGGTGTCATGAGAGCCATACCTGTGGGGGTGTAGGGGTAGAGGAGGGGCGACCGACAGGAGGTGTTGAATTCCTGCTCCCTGAACCCCCTGCCATGATCTCCTCTGTGATATCCCTGCCACCCTGATTGGGGTCACGGATACGGATCTGGGAGGACAATGGCACAAAATAACAGACCTCACTAAAGCGCCCGAGTCTTGGAGCAACCCTGCTTCATGCAAGTTTTTCATTGAGACGTAATAACAGGAAAAAGTTTATATTAGGGTGTCCTGGAGTGAAATAAATAAAATAATGGTGTTATCAGAAGCAAGATGAAAACACTTCATTTGTGACAAGAATTTGTGAAAATGTGCAGAGAGATTAAATTACAACATTAATGACTAGAATCTATAATCGAAATTTAAAGCTACATTAAATGGTTACGTTTCTGCTCAGCTTGTAAAATAATTCCACATTTATGCAAAACATTAAATACATTTTAAACAAGGGAAACTCAAACTGGAATAACTGCTGATGGAAAGTTCCAGAAACTAAATTCACTTTGAGGTGAGACTGTTTTGTCAGCTGCTGTTTGCAACGTCAAAACTGAACTGTAAAGCTCAATCCTAAACTATTATGGATGAGAAATCCATAAAGTGGTCAGAAAAAATGGAAATTTAAACATCAACATTTCTGTGGAAATTGCTGAAAGTCGTGAAATGTGATCAAAAGCTCCAGAACGGCTGCTAAATGGGTCTTGAGGTGGGGGAAACTACTAAGATACTCACTGTTTTCTTCTCACGCTTGGCTGGTGGAGGTTGCTGTGGTGTAGGCACTATGATGGGGGTCGAGGGGGGGTACACAGTCTGTCCTGGGTAGTAGGTTGGGCCAGCTGTGGGAACGGGAGCAGGAACAGAGGGTGAGACAGGTGGGTGGTACCTGAGGGGATCTGAAGGGAAACACAAGAGAAGAAAACACACGTCGGTTAAACACTGATTCATTTCCTGCTCTGAGGAGATGATCGATTATTTGTGCTACTTTGGTGAATTCAGACTTTAAAAGTGCTCGGAGTGTGGGAATGGTATTTCATGTGTGTCTGTGTTGGACTAATAACTCACGATATGGGGCAGGGTACTCCCCTGGCCCTGGACCAGGATAGAAGGTGCCAGACCCTGGAGGCTGTACAGAATACTGCTGAGGAGGTCCCACGTAGGGCGTACTGTGGCGATACTGCAAGCAAAGAGGGCAGAGGGAGACAGATTGAGACATCAGTAAGAACAAGGCAGCTACTGTGTGTAAAAAAAGAACTGCACTCTTTTGCAATCAGTTTTTTTTTTTAACATTTGGAATTTAAGAGATTTTAATTGTCCTTCATTGAGATGTTGGATCTCTTAAATTCTGCCTAGATCACTGTCGCAAACTGCACTTCTCCTAATCAGCCAGATCTAACCAGTACCAGCTGCAGCCCGAGAGTATTTTTCTGTAGTCACTCGGCACAGAAACCAAATACTCACGGGAGCTCTGCAGGAGCAAATATGAAATTAAAATATTCTTACGCTTAATTTTTGCTGTAATGGTTATAATCTGTGTCGGTTACGATGACGCACGCAAGGAGAAATACTTTTATCTAATATAATGTGCAGACAAGACTATATAACAAAAACGTGCCTCCTTTATATTAAAGGAATAGTTCAAAGTTTTGGGAAATACCATTTTTTTCTAAAAGCCCACTAATCAAAACATATTTAATTTATACAAAACAAAAAGGAATCAAAAATCAACACATGCTGGTTTCACAGGAGTGTATTATCTAACAGACAGAGGCATCAATCTTCTCATCTAACTTTCCCAAAATGTTAAACTATTCCTTTAAATAATTTCAACCAGCAGCAAACAAGGAACATTTTTCTCAACAATTTCCCTTCGGGGATAAATAAAGTATTTCTATCCATCTATCTATCTAAAACAGTTGCTGAAGCAAGTGTGAAATGAAAATATGTTTGCTTAATCATAATCAAACAAAGAATACTTCAGATTTTTTTTAGATCATCATAATAAATTAAAACAGTAACAGTAAGTGCACAAACAACGATAGCTGAGACTGAGGCACACAGACTGATAGTAGAGTAACAGCTTTAAATCTAATGTTAAGATCCAGTTCAGTTGGTCCATGGCACCTGTGGGATGTAGTACTGTGCAGTCTGTGGGGTCGGGAAAGGCATGGGTGCCATGGTCATCATGATTGGTTGGTTAGTGGGGTAGACAGCCGCTGTGGGAGTCTGTGAGCCAGGTCGTATGGAGGGCGTGTTCGTAGGGATATTGGGCCTCGCAGTCTGCATCTGGGTCCTCTGGAAAAACTGAAAGCAACATGTGAGAGAAACAACAGAAGACATTGAAGTGCTATCCCAGAGGCAGCAGTCTCATTTCAGCATGCTGTCATACTTTATCTAACATAAAAACAGTGCAGTTTTTCAGATGTCTTCGCCATTTGGCCTACTCATTCCTCACAGAGAGACAGCCCGGGTTTTGTTTTGTTTTTAAATCAGCTGCTTAAAAGAAATCTCAAAACTCTCGTCAACGCGGCCACTCAGAGCATTACATTAAAAGCACTCCTGAGGGATGAAAAGCAGAATGATTTAGTCAGACATGCTTTTATACATCTGTCAGAGGCCTCTATAATCAACCCATAATCTCCTCCACCAATTGCTTCACTAAACATCTCTAATATTTGTATTTTGTAACTGGTGAGCAACATCATGAATCAGATGAATGACATCTAAATCCTACATCCTAAATATTTCCTCCTACAATCATCTAATCAACTAAATAAACGTGTTACAAGCATCAAGTAATTCATATTAGGATAACGTTTGGAAAAAGAAATCAGTGTACTACAGAGCGAACAGTCTCAATTCTTCCAGACATTCACAATAAGCCCTGTGTTCATCATCGTCGTCTTCATCTTCACGGGCACCTTTACAACGTTCCTATTATGAAAGTAGTGGAAGTTTTGTGTTGTTTTAAGGCACCTCTGTGGTATCTTAACACCGTGGCAACTTACCAGAGTATACTTGTGTTCAAAGATTTAAACAAAAGCAGTTTTCCATTACCTTTTATTACATTTTTGTTTGATTTGTGATCCCCAATTCGAGTGTTTTCCATTCATATATAATTCCTATTAAAGCACTGTGATGGAGCCACGTCTACTGTAGTGTGGTTTAGCCCTATTATGACCCACTGGTTACGAGGTATTTACTTTCACTAATGAAAACCGATGCCACTTGCTACCAAGACAAAGAGATGTGGAGGGAGATCAAGTAAAATTTAAGGTTTGTATCAGGGATATCCAACACCTACCTACATGGTGGTTTAAGGTCGGGTTTTTTTTAAATGTCTTTGAGATTTTTGTGATTGGTAATTTGATATTCAACCATTTATCAAGAGATTGAGATTTCTGTGAGATGACTGTTGATACATTTGTTTTACGGTTGGTTTTAAAAAAGCAGAGAAGGGCCCAATTACTGTTTCCTACATTATACTTAAAAGGGATTAGCCAAAGTGTAAATTTCATTAATTCTTGTTTTTTTTTTATTTATATTCTCCTATTTCAAAGCTCTTTGGCCAGTCTGCCCTGCACTGTGAATAAGCTGCACCAGACTCCACAGCTGCAGAAAATAACAACTCTTGGACTGTTGAATGGCTTCAAATACCTCTTTTTGTGCCGGAGCAGATTGGCCAACCTTGTAGTTGTACTGATTGTGTGACACACGGCACGGCTCTCTTCACCAGGCAGCAATATGGCCGTTACTCGTGCATCACAGAGCGCACAAAGCTGGGAGAATATACTTGTAGTGACTGCAGCTACAATGACTTCTATACAGCACGTGTCACCATCACTTAAAAGTTTAATATTGCACCGGCTTTGTGTTTGGACGAGCCTGAAGAAAGACCGCTACCAACAGCTGTGACCAACTTCCAAACAACTAGGGCTCAAGCTGCGAGTACCCAACCACAGTCGCAGTGTGATCCAGCGAAGGAGAGCAGAATAAACAATGCTGTAAAACCGTCTAAAAATACCCAGGAGGGAAATCACCTTTCACATAATAAATCAGGTTCAATGGCTGTATTGTAAACAGGCCTGTGGAAATCTGGGAAATGACCAGGAAACTGTTTATTACCAGCTACCAGAAGACAGTGTCCGTAAAGTCGCTGGCAAAGTGAGAAATATGAGTAAACAGACAAAACAACTTTTCAACACGGTCAACTAAATAATGCTTAGTAACTCAGGCTTAAAATAATCACTGAAACAGTAAAACCATACATACGTCCAATGGGCATAAACATTACATATTTCCAAACGGTAACAAACACTTACTTTCTTATCACATGGACATAAAAGGAAGTAACAAAAACACTCATCTTAGGGGGGAATATACAGTATCTTTCACTCTGCATGCTGTTCATTAAACTGTACGAGCTCATTAAAGATGAGTAATGGACGAAACAAAAAAACACGACACTCCAGTAATGATCCTACAAGATAAAAGACAGGACATGGGGATGAAATGATGATTTTAAAAACAAAAGACTCTCTCTACTGAGCATACACTGTAGTGAAGATGAGGGGGTGTGCAGGGTTAAAGGTTAGGAGGGACGGGATCATTTGAGGGGTGGATCCTCATCATGCCATGCAGGTCTGCGGAGACTTTTGACACAGAAGTAAATGTTACCTGGATGGGCCTGAATCCTCCCTTCAGTATTGAAAGCGGGAAAAAGAGAAAAGCCAATGGGAGACTGTACTGGTGAGACCGAAGCCTCGATACAAAAACAAGCAGGCAATCAATCATTCACACCCACACCCCCAAGACAGGAAACTGCCACATTATTTCTATCTACCTGACACAGTACATTCTCCTGAGACACTTTGGCTAAAATAACTCGTATACAGTAGAGAAGGAGCTCAGAATCAGGGTGGGTTCATCATTCGACTGGGCGGTGAAGTGGAAAAAGCTGAAGAGTCACAGTCAGAATGTCGTTTCAGCATTTGACTTGCACAGCGATCCACAAGCCTCTCTCACCCAAACACACACTCTACTTCGAGGGCTATTTCCTTTCTCGAATTGTGCAGCCTGAGCCTCTGTGCCAGTCTACCTCTTGCTTTGCCAATTTGGCATTTTGCGGCCCCATTGGGACCTGGCTGTCACCTGCGACAATGCATTACCCACAGAGTTCATGTTGACGGCTGCACCAGGGAGGCCCACAGACATCGCTCTACCTCATGGAGCCGTTAGGTCGGGCGAGCTCATACGGGCTGAATAAATTACTGCTTTTGCTGAAAATCTTTTGTGTCCTTGGGAGACGTGGGCTGGTGTTTTTTATTGTATAATAGAGAAATCATTTAGAAACACACATTAAACTCAAGGCTAATGCCTGATCTTTGCCCTGACTTGACCCGTTTCAACTCATTTGAACTTGTCTTCATCATTCCCATCTGTGATAGAGAAAGAGAAATGTTGTAACTCTGTTCTGCCTATTTGAAACTACGTCTACATGTTCTGTATGTTAAAGTGGAAATGGTGACAAAACATAAGTTATATACCATTTAACGATTATGTGACCGTTCCACCATTTGAGGCGTCTGAAGAGGACACACTCGAGGGTAAAACTCAGATTAATAGAGTTATTTAGACTCTGAACAGCTCTCTGGAGGAAACAACTGTTGTTTGTTTTTGTGGTAACTGTAATTTCTACTGGTTTTGACCTTTGGGTTCACACAGACACACGAAAGCTGTGTTTGGTGTCCAAAGAAGTCAGTTACACTGATAAGTGGAAGAAAAAAAACAATATAATGATGATCCTTGTTTGGAGTCAGACTTATGTTTTGGCCGAATGAATTCATTTTCTGATCTCTATGTACCCTTTACTGTGCATTGAGTGCGTTTCAGGGGGACAATGGGTGTTTTCTCCATCGGCATAAAAGGCCACTGTTCGGCTTCATCTGCTTTCCGACTCCACTTCCGTGGTGGCACAAGAGATCCCAGCGCCAGTTTGTGACAGCCAGAGCATGAGCTTGTGTGTTTGTGTGTGTGTGTGCGTACACTAATATCGGCAAACACACCCGACACAGTTTGACACTATACTATTAATAGTCTCTTAAAAATGTGTCCGCACAGAAGAATCCAGAAGGTGAGGATGTCAGACAACCAGTTACTCAGGGCACGTCTCGGGGTCCTGGGTGTGAATAACACATCGATCTTAAAGGCGGCCAGCTGCACGAATCATCACGGTGTGAATCAACAAACAACAGGAAGTCACATGGACTGAATATTAGCACCCAGACATGTCATAACATGACTCTTAGCATCCACAAGGTAATACACAAACATCATCTTAAATACCTACTGACAAATATGAACACATTAACATGCCCTTCATAATCTAATGACATTAGTTCACAAAGTGTCGTCAGCCTAACAGGGTCCAGAGTGTAATTGCCGCAAGTGTCAGCCAAGTACACGGACACACACACTTGTTCCTGACTCCTTCCTTGACGACAGCCTACCTGACCACTGACCACTTTCACTTTGTCTTGTTTTATCCTGAAATTCAACACAAAACTCAAAAAAGAAAAGAGGAATAATCAACGTCTGAAGACATTTGTGTCCCTCTGGAAATTGGCTCGTAGATGTGGTTGTGACAAAAATCTAGATCACAAATTTCTCACCCAAACAACAATAAAAGCCAATTTAATTGCAGTACCTTGGTTTAATTACTGCAAACATATGAGAACATGGTCTCACGAGGGTGTTGTCACAGAAATAATCATGTTCTTATTTCAGTTTTCTGGCATAAAGAAAACATCCTGCACACTAACTCCATATAATACTTTATGTATGTTTCTAACAACGTTTAACTTTTACACCCTACATTTTACACACACATCTGTACTTTCTACTCCTTACTTTTTCAAACTAGGCTCGTTACTTTTCTTTATTGCCCCATTTGAATGCAGGAGAATGATCCATTAATTCATTTTTTACATCATATAAGCCTTCCCAACATCAAGACTGTGGTGTGTCACACGTGACAGTAACGTGACAACAACAAAGTAAAAGACGTCACAAGATGAAACAGACCAAAGAGGGAGAATCAATATATCAATCTATTTGAAGTTTCAGATTTGCACAGAGACAGCTGGTAGAAATGTCCAACAGAGCCTGTACCTTTTTGCTTTTACTCGAGTAAAGAAGTTGAATTAGTACTTCTACTTTTACCAGAGCATCCGTACTACTTACTGTTTTCAAGGAAAAGGAAAACATATCAGATACATTTCCACTATTAAAATGCTTTTCCTTGGACGGAGGTACGGTGTTGTTTGGCCAATTCGGCATGTAGAATCATGTTAGATTCACCTGAAAGCGAGCGCTCTCTGTTTATCCTTATTTTTCACCTACACCTTTTTACTTTCAATAAGCAAACATCGGCTCACAACACTAGAGCGAAATTCAAACATACTGTCGATTAGTATTTTGAGCATAGATTATAAATTAATGTAAATATCTAGACTGACTCATAGTTTCCTGTTTGGTCAAATGTAACGAAGAGCAAATTATAGCATGTTAAATGCCTAATCATTCAGAAAAATATATAAACTGTAAGGAAGGCTGCGCTCCAACCCGAGACACCCACAAGCTTCATTACATCTAAACCTGATTAAGACTATTGAATACCAATTCAATTCTTGGACTGAAAGAAGATCAATCTCTCCATAAAAATAAACATGAATAGTGCAAGAACACGCCTGTCAGGAAACGGCTCTGTGCACCTGGCGAGATATCTTACGCTTAGAAGAATCCCACGATAATTAAAACCTCTTTAACCGATTCCAACATACTTCGGGCTTTCAAATGTGATTTTATTTTTTTAAGGAACAGCAGACGCCCCACAAACAGCCCTTTGCCAGCAGGTACCAGCAAACCGCTTTGATGATGATGATGCGAGAGAGGGAGCAGGAGGGGCGTTCAGCAGGGGTAAATTACCTGATGGTGGGTTGGTCGAGGGCCCGTAGCAAACTGGTGGGGGAGGGAGGAGAGGTCCAGCAAGGAGATTTGAAGCAGTGATGGCAAAGCGAGGAGAAGAAAGAGCATAAGAGAGACACAGAGATAAGATGAGCGATGAAGGCAGACGCTTGAAAAATACAGTACAAAACCACAGAGCAACAAAGCTTCAGAGACACGTGGCACATGATGCGGCTCTCAGACGCAGGTCGAAGTGTGTATCTGAAAATAGTGGCTTTGCTTTAAGTACCAGATGTGTCGGGCTGTGTGTTATGATGCCAAATAGTCAAACACAGAAAAGAATATAATTTTTATGCTGTGAACAACACTGTGCACACTGACCGAGGTCTGGTTAACCTTGCTCTTCTGATAAGGGAGGGCAGGAGGCAGTAAGGTTGATAAATAATGAATGATTACTAGATGTATGTGTACAGAGAATGCTGACAAAGTGAATATCGTATTTATTTTACTAGGCTTGTCGTGGAGGGAGATTTTTCACAAAAGGTGTTGGCTATCTTTAAATGGCTTTCTTTAGGCTACAGTGAACAAACACTAAAAGATAGAGCAGCTCGACTTCACACAAAAATGTACACTAAAAGATATCTGAAACTAAGATAACATCACGGAGAACAACCTTTTAATTTTTATGCTGCGCTCCTAAACCCTAAACGGGGGTGTAACAAAGCTCCCAAATGCCACCAGTGATGCAGCACCATCGACCACAACGAGCCTACGAGGGCCCTTGAAGGAGACGGCGAAGGAGACCTCATTAAAAAAAAATACAGCCGATGCTGAAGTGACTGACTGGATTGAGATCATTCAACGTTTCTGGAGCTCTGTGTGGCTTCTAAACACCAGATCCCTCCTTCGCTGACTCCATGAACTTTTCAGTAACGCAGTAAAGCAAAAACTGTTTGGGTACTCTGAGGCAGGCGTGCAGTAACTCTGAGACCACGGGGACACTCACCGGGCGACTTTGTGGCTGTGCATTCATTGGCTGTGTCTGGGGAGAATACACTAAAGGTGCAGAACCAGCATTTTGTCCAGGGTTGTATGGAGACTGTTAAAAGACGGGGAAATAAAAAAAAGGAAAGACAGAGAAGGAGAGGGTTAATGACGAGGAACTGTGCAGCAATCAGTCATTTCATTAAGACGTTCAACAAACCGACTGTAACCTCAACACAGCAGACACAATATGAACTTACTTTGGATGAAAATGTTTTCGATTGGGGTTTTATTATAATTTAATTGGTACCCTGAAGGACTACAAATCCTGTGCTCCTCTATTCTTCATCTAGTGTGCAGTGGAGCTAGGAGGAGGTGAGTTTAAGCAGATCTGTTTACTCTTCTTCAAGCTGCTGCGGGTATGGTTGCGATCGTTTCAGGTTGTGCTGTCTGACGAGAGCTGCTTTAGGGTGTGGGGGTGGGCCATTAGGCTATAACGGTAAAGAGGAACAACCGGATTCCTCACCAGCGTGGTCACATACTTTCAGAGAAAGCTGAGTCATGGAGTCAACATGCTTGTGAGCCAGAGCGTCAGAGATGCCAGCATCACAGCAGCAGTGTCACAGTCTGACAGTGAATCTATCTTTATGATTAAGCAATTCTGTTTTTTCCTAATATAAAAAGGTCTAAGGATAAGATCTGATGCATGATAACATGAGTGAATCTTTCTTCCCATCATGCTCAGCCCTGATTTATTTCTGTTGTGTTTCTGGTCCTTTGGTCCTTCTCGTTGCCCTTTCTGACTCCAGCAGATGTGTGTGGATCTAATTGTAGTTGCAGACAGATACAGACAGTGAAGGAAAGTCCCTGTTGGGTTTCTATATTTAACCCTTCCTTTACCCCAATCATCTTAAATCCCAATTAATGAAATAATCTTGCCATAATCCAACCTAATCACTGTGCTTCTGCCCTTAAACCTGGTAGTACATAAGACTTTACACACACACATCCTCTTTTAACGCATTCCCAATCCTGATTTATTATTTCCCGCCTTCACTTTTTACCCAAAGAAGTTAAACTGATGATGTTGAAGCTTTGCAGACGACCTCTTTCAGCTACAAGCTCACAGATCTGGTTAGTACCACAATCTTACAGCCAGAAGGGTTTTTCTTTTTTTAAGAACAAAAATAACCCATATAAGTGTTCAAAATCTTACAATGTGACAAACTGAACAAACATGAATATGCAGAGAGGATGACGGCGGACACAGTGACAAACTCACCCCTCCGCCTGCCTCCCAGCCCTTAGGGTAGCGATATGGGGAAGCTGTGGGTACTGATACCTGAGAGAGCGCCGGGGAGTGGGCATGACCTGGCGGGGTGCCCGCCAAGCTAGGGTGTCCCTTTGTGATGTCGTGAGCAGTGTAAGTAGAGCCAGCATGCCTGGGTACCTGTGTCACACAAAACAGTAAGATCAGACAGACACACAAAATAAGATATTATGTCACACTGATGCACAGACGCACACTGATGTATGGAACAGCAGCAGCCGGCCTCCGCAGGTCATTAGTCCTCCCTCCTGCTGAGGAATGTGAATTAAGCTCTCAAGCTCTAGGATTAGCCCCCATATGTGTGCAAAGGTGAAGACTTGTACTGTGCATGGGTGTTGAAGCCTGCTGGGGTTGGCTAAGACTGTCTCTGGCCTCTTCTGCAGTCTGCCGTGCCCAACTATGCTGTGCAAGGATGTGTGGGCCTCATGTGGCAGAACTGGGTCAAGTAATCATATTACAACCCCGCTCATCTGTGACAGATAGAGTGCACCTGGTACAATAGATGCAACTGAGTCATGCTTAAACAAGCCTCGTCGATATGAGCCAATGAAGGGTTCGGGGGAAGGCACCGGCCGAGTGAGCAGTATTGGGAAAAGATGAGCCTTGACTCAGCTCTTAGCCTGCGGTGTGGCAGGATGGGCCTTGGCTGCTGCAGCTGTAGGCTGGCACCGCTGCAAGTGCTGCTTGTTGCTGCTGCAGCCTGACACACCAGGGAATGAGACAGGATACTGCAGGAAGAGAGCAGGAGGCAGACACTGAGACAGGCTGGACAGCTGGGCTTTCTCTCCAGGGCATTTTATTCTCCACAAAATGAGCCCAAAGAGCAAAACGTTTAAAGACTAACATCTACAAATTGTGTTACGTCTACCAGGTATGTTAGGCAGCATTGTGTAAAGCTTCTATAGTATAAATCCCTTCTGCATCTCTCCATCTTCTCTTTGTGGCCCACTTCCCTCAGATGACCTGGGATAAAGCAACTAATCTAGCCGCTGTTGCCAGGGGAGGAGCCTGCTCTGCTTCAGGCGAGTGACTGATTCTGAGGACATACAGAGTGATGGGTTGGGGGAGGGGAGGCGAGCGGCTGTATAGGAGCTGTACATGAAGGGAAAAGGAAAAAAAGAGTGTGCAAACCCCCCCACATCCACTGCACAGAACAACGGTTTCACGCCGTGGGCACGGTTCATTTCCACCAGTGTCATCATTGTTGCAACCCCGTTAAAAACTAACTTTGAGAGCTAGAACATCTCAGAAAAGCAGCGGTGTTTCCAGTACTGTTGTGTTACTGTGGATAAATAAGCTCACAGCTGAATAGCCTAACTTCAAACATACAGCGAGTTTTCTTGTGTGAAACTCCCTACCGTACCTCCACATTTCAGAAACGTTATCATCACTGAAAACATCTTCTTTGTGCTGTCAAATGATCAAAGTGGGAACTCCAAGGTATGCTGCAAAGCTTGTTAAAGCCAGAGATTACAAAAAATAAAAGCACATAAGGGATAACAAACACACACAAGCTAATATTTACCCACAAATGACCACTAAAATATTAGTATTAAAATACTGAGGACGTCTCGGCCACAACTGTAAAAAAAAAATTCATGAAATGTCAAATGAAAAAAAAAGGAAAAGGAAATCAATATTCCTAGTATCTTAAATGTCTGCAGCAAATGCTCATTTACAAGATGTGCAACAACGAACACCAGAGATATCTGTGGTATCTTCTACAAAGCCCTCCAACAAATCACTCCCCTCCAGCTATTCCGCTCTGCAAACAGCACTGCTCAACCTGGATCGCTGTACAGTATAATGTCTACTTGCAAAGGGTGACTGTCATGTCGGGCCAAGATCCTCAGAGGAAGGGAGGATGCCTTCAGGGTTTGTTTTCGTCTTTAGGGAAATACAGTAGGTGTGGCCGGTCACTGAGGAGACGACAAATGGTCCCAGAGTTCAACCAAGGACGACACATGAAAGTACTTTTTTTTACTCTAAGTAAATCTAATTGTCTTTCCTAACTCACATATTGATGCTTCAGGCACGCTAAAATAAAAACACCAAGAATTATATGAATGTTATTACGACAAAGACGCGATACAGGAAATGTTAATTAACTCCTGAAGGAAAAAAGTGAATGGCAGAGGTCCCCTGAGGTGACACACATTTCCACAGCAGGCCTCCTGAAGTCAGATCACAGCATTATGTCTCAACAAGCACGCCTTCTCCTTTTTGTGGTTAAAAAACAAAACACACAAATGCACGTTTACTGTGACTATAAAAGCTTTTCAACCTAGTTTACATATTCAAAATATTTATTGTATTTTTTATTGCTCAGAGTCACTGAGAGTACTTACTGACATACTTTGATAGGCACTGTTATCTCACCACTATGGCATATTTTAACTCAACATATTTTCCACTGTCAGTTTATTATTAGATATACGAATGCAATAAATCTAGTTGAGGTTGTAATGCTCTTAGGAGGAAACAGGTGCATCTCTCCTGCACTGAACTTCAGTTGGATGCTCGTTCGCGGCACTCCAGAGCTCAGAGTCACATACGTTGTTGTTTTTTGGGGGTGAATATACTTAAAATCAATCGGCTGACAAATCTACTGTGTCAGCCTACATCAAAGCATGATTATATGGTAATAAATGTTCAGCAAGAGGAGTTGGTCCACCCTATTTATATCACTGAGGGCAGACTAAACACCTCTCATCCTCAACGCAGTTCAACAGAAATAAATCAAATAAAAATTACCGGAAATCTGAATCAACACCTCTCTAACAAAAACCGAGCACTGTAACCTTCACGTGGGAAGTGTTGAGTAAGAGCGCATTAGTTAGCCAGGTGTACCCGATAATCTTGTAACTGAGTGTGTGTGTTTGAGATAAAGCAGCGTACAGGTGGATGTGAGAGAGAGGGGCTGCGTGCAGTGACTCACGCTGTAGACTGCAGCGACTCCAGGCTGTGTGGGGAAGATTCGCTCGTCCAGTGGCTGAACCCGTGGGATTCTGAAAAGAGGTGCGTTAAGGAAACCTCTGCGAAAACTGCAAGACCAAAAAATAAGTTTCATGCTAGATAAGAGTTGGACAGCTCTACGGGGGGAGATAACTATCACGTTTAAGGTTTTTATGTAAGAGACACTGAGACACTAAGTATTGCTGACTAACTGACTAATTGTTGTTTCCTAAAAAGAATGACTTCCTTCTACACTTGTATGTTTTTTTTCTGCAATACATTTAGCTGATTCAGATCCAAAGGGCTTTCCTCAAACCCCAATGGCTCGCATAGTTGGATTTCAAGGATCCCCCAACCACTCCACCCCGCCCAAAAATGCCCCATCTCCGCTCAGAGTACACTATGTACCTTCACCATTTTGTAAGTGTTAAAGGGAAAATCTGAAATGGATTTCTGCACTTCAGGCAAAGGGACATACAGAGAGGATTAGACAACTGTATAACTTCCATACTAACTCTCCTTTTCTTATGTTAAAGGTAGAAAAATAGGTCAAATAAAACCCTCTCGTCACAACACTGGGCATTGTCTGAACCTTTAATAATGAGACTCACTTGAGAGACACTCATATGTTAGACGAGACGAAAGAGGGAATGTGCAGTAGCCACATAAAAGAGGAAAGCCCTGTAGTTAGTAACCTGCTCAGGCAGTTGTCTGTGACAGGCAGACTCACACACTGCTGGTCACATGGTTTATGGGAAACCGAACGTCTGGCTTTCTTCCTTTCACTAAAATCACGCCTCCCCTTCTCCCCAAGGGTTAAGTTATAGAGAAGTAAGCAGATAAGTATTTTTGTAAGTATGTGTGTGGGTTCTGTGAAATCAGACATGTTTATAGTTGTTTTGAACAGCCACACTTGGAGTGAAAAGCCAGCTGTGTTTGGGGGTGATGTCGTCTATTCTGAAAGCCACTCAGTGCTGCGATCGGTCGTTCACATGAAAAGCGCCAAAAATAGTTGTGTAACAAATTAAAAAACAGAGTTGAGAGAGAAGTTGAAACCCAGCCGAACCGTATTCTCTCACCGCCACAGCTGACCGTTCATGACGGTGAAGTGGGTGTGAACGAAGGTCACAGAGCGGTCTGAAGCTGTCCGACGAGCGGCTCTGACGGAGCAAACTGGCCCCTTAAACCCTCTTTCCTTTTGCTCTGCTCCTGCCTGCAGGGGCCGTAACATCTCTCTTGGCCCCCTGCCAGCACCTCTGCTCACAGCCGACAACACGAGAGGGAGGGAGGGAGATAAGGAGAGAAAAGAAACATTTAAAGAAAAAGGGCTGCGATTCAAAAAGCAGAAGCACAGCAGGAAGCATTATCTGTTCCACTGTCGGGGAATTTGGAAAAACAACACGGCCCTCCGCCCCACACAAACACACACACACACAGAAATGAGGAGTAATTAGAGGCTCAGTCTCTTCCCAGACACGATAGTCCAGGTGAGGAGAGACCTAATTAAACTGCGCCACAGTATTTACACCTTTCATCTTCTGCTTTTAACGTGCCAACAGTATCGCAAAGAAAGAAACTTTCACCACAGAGCTCAAAGTAGGTGAGAAAATTAATAACTTGTAAATACTCCCTGACTCAGGTTTGGTGGGTGACAGACAGAGAGAGAGGGGGGGGGCATCAACAGTGAGGCAACCTGATCCGTCTCTCTGCTCTACATGACCGCTGGCTGGCAGGTGCAACTGTGTTGGGGACTGTAAACGGAGGGAAAGCACTGAGATGTGCCACCAGAGGGGCGATGAGTTCAACATGGGCAGGCTTTTTTTGTGTTAGCTGGTTCGACAAAACCTAAAACCCCCGGTCAGAGATCACAAGGGTGGTTAACAACAAACTCAGGTTGTTTTATTCCGCGTATAATGGAGCAGGTCATTATTACGGAGAGTTATGAAGCATATAAGAGATAAATGCTTGTATGGAAATTACTACTCATGTAAATTCATAAGTTAATATATTTATTTTACCACTCAGTGCATAATGTGAAGCTCTTACACTTTAAACTTGAGCAGCATATTAAAAGCAGGCTTATAAAGAAGGATATATGAAAATCACTTCAGTTTTCGGCCAAATGATAGTGAATTTATTTGATTGAATATTATGTGACAAATACCAATAGATTAACTTTCTAATCAGTGTTGTATAGCTGCAATACTAACAGTGTAAACAAACCAGGACCAAACATTAAAAACATAATCCACAGTGGTATTTATTTACTGTGCCTTCATTATTCTTTTAGTGTGTGGATGATATACAGTGGTATAAATGTTAAGTGTCAGTATGACTCTGCTGCACACACGACCCTAAAGAATCCACAGGAATTATACTGCACTTGATTAGCAGGCGAACATCACGCTGATTAATAATATAGTCAACTATAATGTATGCTACCTGTGATTTTAGAGCAGGCTTCGTTTAATAGGCAGCCAACAACAACCATATTCAGCAGTTCAGTGAGAGCAAGAACAACCTTGGGAATACAGCAGCATACAGTATTTTCTCTTCATTTTTTTTTTTTGCATCACTAGCTGAATTCGAGTGGCAAAAAAACAAAAACAACGCGATGCATACAGCTCGTGTTACTGTAACTGCACGGCTTCGTTCTGTGGCGTTACTAATGTTACTAATGCACGGATCAATACGTTTGCATATATAACGAAATCCATCAGCTGACAATCTAAATCACTCAGAAGGATCGTCAGGAAAAGCCAATGGATCAATTTGATCTCTATGAACAAGAGAACCTTACACGATGCTGCAACAACGGTGACCATTTCCAAAGAAGCACAAGTTACCAGGTTAAAAGAGAGCCACCATCTTATCATTGAAAACACTAACCCATTAATAGTAGTAGCCCGTCTGGTTCAACCTCAGCAGTAATCCACCTGGAGGTCAGGAGCTGATGTCAACAACGGCAAGAGCAGGAAAACCAAACGCACAAACAAGGAGGTAAGATGACAGATGTGAATCTTAAGAGATTTTGGCAGATCTGATCTTCTTGCAACTGCAGCCAAATTTGAAAAAACAAAAAAACAAGAAGATATATTTTAAATGGCTTAAAGCCAGCGTTGAGATTTCTTTTATCTTAGGAGGCAAACACCTGTGGGCATGTTGTTATGCCACAAACTAGGAGGGATACAGTTTGAACACCTGTGTTTAATGCCTTTAAGCTGGAATAGTTTCTCAGATCACGTTTTGGAGAAAATTCAAAAGATAATACTGAACAAAAAAATCTGACATTTAAGCAACACAGCAAGAAACTTATTTAAGTGAAAAAATGATCCAGTTTTGTTTTTCCTCTGGACAACCTGCACCTGTGCATAAAAAAAGGTTTGTTTCAACAATCTGGAGCAAAACTTCTCTTTGACATTCAAGCACTTTCATATTTTATACAACCACTGATGCTTAGCAATGCGTATTCAAGTTTCCTTACTTATTGTTGCCGTTTCAAGACTGATGGTGGTAAAAATATTCATATATATATACACACACATGTATATATATATATATATATTTAAGTCATATTCAGGCGATCACACCGGGTAGACTAAATGTCCTGAGGTAAAACTTCCTTTATATCAAGCCCTCCATGTGGGTGTCCAGGTGAGCAGATGGATGCAGACACTTTTCAGTCAAGCTCTGCTGCATGTGTCCGAAACAACCATGAAAGTGGCTGACCGCTTTAATTAGACATTACTCATTAGTTTGATCTCCATTAATTTTCTGCTTGAGGAGAGAGGGCAAACACAATGTCAACTTAAAGACTTACAACTGGGATACTGCTTCAGGGAATAAGAGAGATAAAATTACATGCAACGTCCAACTGGACAAAATTACAGAGAGATTGAGAAGAAATGCAAACAGGCTTCCCTCCTAAACAAAGACCAGACTGCCATGTAGTTTATTGTTGTCATGGTAAACTCACAGCCTACGACGAGCCCATAAAGCAGGTTCAGCCACTCCTCCTTGACCCTTGACCCCACAGTGACCTGTAAGCCTCAATTAGGAGGGCAAAGCTGCTGTGGCTTCATCATTAGCTTACTGTAAAGCCATTAATGTGCTGAGTGGGTGAGAGGGAAAGAAAGAAGGAGGAAACACAGCCCCATAAATAGCAGGGGTGTGATAGGGAGGATGACACAGCTCAATAAACTGTAATCTGTCATTACTTAAGAAATTAATGAATCACAGATGTGTAGTTAGCAACCTCACCCAGGAATAAATCACAAGAAAAAGAAGCATTAGAGGGTGAGAGAGTGAGAGTTAGACAAATATCACCTCAATCAAACAGCAATGACTTGTAATGAATGTCTCTGCCACAGGATGAAGTCTCGTGTCACGTAAACACGGCAGCACACGTTTCGAGTGCTCTGTCCGAGCTGAAAGACACAGGCTACCTGGAAATCTGAAAAGTGCAGTGGGTTCAAAGAGTGGAGGCGCAGGAAGTGAGTGGAGACAGCCCAGATGGTGCAGACACAAGCAGCCCACCGCTCACTCTTACACACACACACACACACACACAGACACTCACACACAGACACACACACACACTCTCACACACACACACACACTGCAGTGATTTGTGCAGTGTTGCATTGATGAGTAAAATCACAGCCAGCTACTTTTTACTCGAGTATTTATTCTTGTATATTCAGGCGGGTCCAGATGGGAGGCGGGAGGCTGAAGAAAAACCTGAAAATTGTAAAATTAAAAAAAAAAAAAAAAATCAAAGGAAACTTGTTCCAGAGAGAATAAAATAGTTTTATGTCAAACTCTTTCAATAAACTAATAATAATTATTGATAACTTATTTTTTTTCTTTGGAAAAATCTTTAGTTTAGGAAGCAAAAAATAATCTGTATTTCAAAAACCTTGTTAAAACTAATAATAATATTTAATCTGGTTCACTGAGAACAACAAGTTTTTCTAAAGAATAAAAGTTAATTATTAAAATAATTTAATTATGTCAACAAACGATGATTATTACAAAAACATAAAAGTTTGAT